GGATTTGGGATGTCAGATCAGCCCTGGTCACTCCGTGGGATAGGATGAAAAGTAACCCGGAGCTTTCAGCAGCCTCTTGTGGGAATTGCTAAGGGCCAAGAGGTAGCTACCACCTTTCCCCTGTCTGCTCCACTGACAGCCTGAACCATTGGCCCTGGGCAGGCTATTGTTAACCTCTTTTTAGGCAAACCCTATTAAAAAAGTATTGGACAGGGAAATGGAAAAAGGAAAGAAGCTGGCCACTGAAGAAAAATTTTAGCTGTGACTCTTAAACCTTTTCAAGGGCTGCCTACAAGAGGTGCCTGGCAATAGATAGAAAGCTAGCAAAGATAGCTGTAGTGGTGACAACAGGCTTTATGAGACTTGAAAATTAAAGACAACGATTGGCTTTGATGTATTACCGATTGGGGGCAAGACTATTCCTACTTTCAAAGTCAAGATGCAACCGAGATCTTCACAAAGGCATTTGTAACTGTGTAGTGTGCATAAGAACTAGTCATTGGCCCTACAGAGCTAAGGCAAGATGGAAGCTTCAAGGCTGACTGACTGAACTGGAGAGTCTATTTACAAGTCTGCTTCTCAGGCCAATTTTGTCCCATTTGATTTGGCTTCAATGAGAATAAGGTTATGAGGTCTAGTGTGTCCAAGTGTACCTTTAATCTGAGATCTCATTTATCTATCACAGGAAAGGCAAATGATAATAGAGGCAATCACAGATGTTTATGGAGTAACAAATACTTCAGTTATCTGTTTTCCCCATAGTCAAGTTTGTATGATAACAGTGGGTCATGGACTCAGCAAAGTGTGGTTGAAAGGTGGCACTCACTGTGGGCTCCAGCTTCTTGCTCAGGAGTAGGTGGGGAGCCAAGAGCACCACTTGCATGATGGTTGGGTATTCTAGGCACCAATATGTGTCGAGTCCTTGACATCTCAGAACAGAGCCCTGGCTACAAACGCCAAGTGAGCTTCTCCTCAGTGACTACGCATCCCAACCCAAACCTGCAGCTCAAACAACAATGGCTGAATCCAAACAAGGGTGACAACACCTTCCATTTTGCTGGGGATAATCCCAGTGTTGACCTATTATTCCGGCATAATTATTCATAACAGTTTATTCTATT